CCGCTGATTTATGTATTAGACAGATATTTATCTTTTCAGGAGCTAAAGACACCACGTATAATATTCTCTCCTCTTACTTTTTCTTTCCAACCACCAACTTAGGAGGTAGGTTGGGCTGAGAAAGAATGAATGGTCTCAGGTCCCTAATGAACTTCTGTGGCTATAGGTAGACTTCAACCTATATTTCTCCAGTCACACTCTAACCACTACACTGCACTGGCTCTTCATGTTTTATGGCTTAATGTATTGTGGGAACCTAGCCATTATGTATTTTTTTTTAAAAAATTAAAACAAATCATGCTTTAGTGCTATAAATCCTAAATTATAACTTCTGTATGTAGTTCTAAAACTTAAAGCACTCCTACTCTACTAATCAATTTCCCTAGAAGAAGAATGAGCAACGTTTTCTTTTTATATCCTGCTTAGGAGTTATAGGGGATGAGGACCCAGTGATGTCACGGCATCACCAGAGTTGGTAGGAGCAAACATTCCAGATTCTTTTAATTTTAATTTTGAGCTAGAAGAAGGGTTCCATAGAGGGTTTGCCTTGAAATTTATTTAATTTAATTTATATTGGGCCTTTCTAAAATGGTTTTGCTTCCTTTTTTAAGTGATGCAGTTCTAACTTTTAAACAATACATCAAAATTCTGTAAAATGAAAATGGGTCTGAAAATTTTGGCTATGTCTATTCTGATATGGCTTTCTAGGCCATTAGAGTTTTTGGGGCTACATGCAGCTTGTAGACTCTTGGCTGCTCATCTGCAATCTAAAATGTCATTTTTTTCAGCCATGATTTTTGTTTCAAAATAGATGCTAGAGAAGAGTTTGGCTTCTTGGGTATTGTCCAACAGTTTTCAGAAAGAATGAGTCAATTTAATATGTAATTAAGGATCAATCTGTGCTAATAAGATCCTTGTTAACAGGTAAGTAGCTAGAGTTCACCTAGTACCTAATCAAAGTAACATATCTTCCTATTTAAATTGTTATACTAGACCCATTTGTCTAATTAATAAAATAGGTCACTCAAGGGAAGAGCTAGTATTTAGCAAGATAAAGTTATTTACATCTCTTAATCCTATCAAACAAGTGATATTGAAACAAAAAGAAAACACAGTAAAATTACTTTGAAATACACATTTCCTAGGACTGTGAACTTTTTATAAGATTTGTCAATTTCTACTGATATCAAAAGTACTGATATTCTTAATCATTTCATGTTCCATTTTAATTAATCCATTTTAATTAATTTTAGAAATGGATACACCTAGAATAATTTATCAAAAGCACATTCAGAATCTGCATGTGACTTTAATGCAAAATCAAATATTACATTATATTCAGACTTAGTTGAACTAAAGTAAATTCAGGTAATCAATGATTATGTAAGTTACCAATGTAAGTTTCAAACTAGGTCTACTCAGCACAATGTTTGCTTTTAGATCAACTCCCTTTCCAGTAGAGGGAGAGAGGGAAAGAGAGAGAGAAATTTTATATTAAAATAAAAGGGCATCTTGCATTAGTTTTTAATTCCTAAATAATTCTGTATTATTCCTTTTTGACTCAAGAACAAATTGTATGATATATAGCATAGGCATTGTATGGATGCTTTTCCTTTCCCTTCTTTTTTACACTAAACACATGATGACTTGATCCAGATTTCATTGCTTTACTTTCTGAAACTCATTCCATCCAAATTAGTCCTGGGTCCCATCCATATTTGACTTGCAGCCTCAATAATATCATATAATCATTTGAGAAATCTTGCACTAAATGTAATTTCTTTTTTTCCCAAATAAGAAAACTATGGTTCACAGCTCTGGAAACAGCCAGGATTTTGAGGCAACTTCAAAACCATCTTTTAGATTTGGAAGAAACCCCTTTCCTCATGTAGATTTCAGGAGGAGAGGCAAAAGGGTGGTGGGATGGCCAAAAGAATAATTCAGATTCACATGAACACACAAGCATTTGGGACCCCTTAGCCAGGTCCAACAACAGCCACACTAAAGAAAAATTCCTGTTTTCTTTATTCAGTATCCTCAGAGTGATTAGATGCTTCACATTGTCAGCAACCATGTATTTCTTTAAGGAAGGTCAGTGCAAGATTAAATCTGTTCCAGATCGAGAAGCACAACAAGAATTGACATGTATTATGTATACAACCTATTTTACTGGCATCAAAGCCTGTTAAGCTCTTTTCATGCACAGCTTAAAAAAAACCCCTAAGTAGCCAAGATTTCAAATTCAAGGAGTATGAACATTTTAATAACTATTAAAGAGGAGGAGAGGAGAGAGAGAGAGAGAGTGATATTATATAGCTGAAGCCTTGCAACAAATTTAGATTTTTGAAAAGACATGCTGTCTTATTCAGAGAAAATTTCATGAAATTAGAATTACTTATGTAATTACTGACTGAACTATAGCAGTATATTTGCTGTGACATCCATTTCTATTTCATTTGCAAAATTCAGAGGCATCATGCTAGGATTTAATGACAAATTGTAGAAATATCTTGTTTGAATTTCCTAGTCCCATATTCTCTTCCTAATCCTCCAATCTTTTCCCCATTGCAATTTTTACTAGGTTTTTAAAAAAATCTTTTGCCCTACTTTTGCTGATAGCAGTGCATGCTCTGCTTTCAACTCAAACTGAACTGATCATTTTACTAATAATGACAAAATATATTTATGCTTCCTTGTGTCCTCCAATGCCATAAAAAGCCTGCCCACTTTTTAGCTTAAATGATGGCAAGGCTCTAGAACAGTGGTTCTCAACCTGTGGGTCGGGACCCCATTTGGGGTCGATCAACCATTTCACGGGGGTCACCAAGCAAGGCTGTCTGCCATTTTTTTTGTCTGCCATTTTTTTCTCCTTTTCCGGCGGGTGCCTTACCTCCCTTGGGCTGGGCCAGCTGGTGGTCGGCCTGCTCGGTCTCTGCCGCTTGCCAGCTACGCCTCGGCTGGCGCAGGGGGCAGAACCACGCATGCGCGGCGCTCCCAGGCAGGGAAAGTCCTCGACTTACGACCGGTTGGGTAGTCCTCGACTTACAACCGGTTTAGTCCTTGACTTATGACCGGTTTAGTCCTCGACTTACGACCGGTTGGGGTCACGGCATTAAAAAGGTTGAGAACCACTGCTCTAGAAGAGCCTTATAAGATACCATTCCTTCTAATAAGAAGCAGTTGCTAGTTAAATTAGCATTATTTACATGCCACAAAATGCAAAAGGAACTTTTTAAAATTCCAATCAATTAATTATTTTTACTTGATGGATCTGCACATTCATATAAGACTTGGAAAGGGACTGTTCCTGCCATAGGAAAAATGTGATTTCTGCTATCTGGTGGGAAAGACAGCTTGCTAGGAGTTGTTGAAAACTTGGATTTGTGGACTGCTTAGAAACTGAAGGGATGAGGAAAGCATGTAATGAAAGGAAGGATTAAATCTTTAGCAGGCGACAGCCTAAGACTAGTTGATCTTCTTTGGCTTGTTGGGTCTTGACTGCTGCAGGAATGAAACTTCTGTAAAAAAGTATCACATCTTTGGATGTCTTTTTTTGACAAGAAAGGGACTGACAAGCATGCCAAGAAAAAAGGTAACTGGTTATGCTTGCATAATGTATGACCTGAGTTAAGTACAGTTTGTAAAAACACAGGAAGTTGCATCAATATTTCACTGAGTCTATACTGCCTATTTTCAATGATGTTGACTTTCCTTCATATGCTGTTTGCATATGCATATCATTCATAATGCATGCTGAAAGTCATGCTTTGTAACATTGTTCCATTCCTCTGCCTTTTCTCAGAGCAACAACTCCCAAGATAGCATTTAGTAGAAAATAATAATTGCAATATATTCTCCAGTCCCATCTCATCCCATCCACTTATGACCCTTGGATGAAAGTGTACAATCTTCTATGAAGCAAAAAAATGTTGGCATTGGCTATAAGAAATGGCCCAGAAAGGGAAGGAAGCTAAATTACAGAATACAAGTTTCATACAGGTAGTTCTCAACTTATGACGGGCCTCAGAAAGGGTCTTAAAGCAATTCTGACCATTGCAAAACATTGCACCACTATCCTTCCATCATGTGGGCACCTCACAATCCATTCACACTTATGAGAGGTTCTCAAATGCCTCACAAATATGTAGTCATCATTTACAATCTTCCATGCTGGCTTCCGCAGAAAGTCAATGTTTTCTGTTTGGATTTCAGCAGGGAAGATTTTTAGTTGCACCCCTCAAGGCAGCACAAAACCCTGGTTCCTAAGGAGTTGCATGCTTGATTTAAGCAGATACCACAGCAGAGAGGTAGAAGTAATGTAAGGAAGGCTTGGCTCAGGCAGTACATGAATGTCTCTCTGCTTTGGCATTGAAAATCTAACTTGCAGAGGATTTTCATTGTTAGAGCCTCCCAGTGTCTCCTTACCTGAGACTCTGTCCACTTAATGATGCAAGAAATTGCTTAATGACAGAGTGCTGAGATTGTGGTCATTAAGCAAAGCAGTCATGTGGGTGTTTTGCTTAATGACTAGTTTGCTCAATAACCCAGATTCCGGTTCCAATTTATGCTATGAATATTCTCTAAGGGACATTTCTATTTTCAGTGTCTTGATTGGATGATTTAAGATAGGCACACACACATATATTTACCCCTAATGATTAAAAGCATAGAAAATGTTCCTTATATTTTAGAGTTAAAGAGAATTTAGTAATGGGCCTATCACAGACTTAAGAAGCGAATTCATAGGCAGGCAAAACAAGTGTCCTTGGGAAACACTATAGCTATTTTATGGTTTCAAACAAACCCATGTATTTTATAATGATTTTCAGGGCCCTTTCTCCATTTTTTTTAAAAATAAGAACTTTATTAGTTTTTTTTACACTAAAAAGATAAAATAAACAGAAAACTAATAATTAAGACAAGCTTCCATGTTTCTGCCAAGCATATCTCTTTTCATCTTATGCAGTGTTTAGTGAGAAATTTGGAAAGAAACCACTTACCAGTATTGCAATTTCATTTACATCATCTGTCACCGGATTCCCACAGGGACGTTGGGCTTTAACAAGAGGATAAAGTAGGAGCAATTGAAGATAAAAGCAAGTGATAATCCAAGTCTGAGGAGAGAGAGAGAGAAACTGGTGAATATAGTAAAGACAAATTACATAATAACAACATATAAATACATTTCAGAGATTTTTTTTCTTTTTGGCTCTTTAAACAAAACCATTTTCTTAAGTTATAAAACTTGAGACAAGTGTTCAATAACAAGTGGACTTAGATGGCAATGGTTTCAGAAACCAAAGCAAGCTTCCAAAGCAAATGTGGTAACATTAAAAGTGGTATCTTTAAAACTTTCATCATGTCTTCAATCTATCAACACCAATCACTGTCTCTCAACTCAGCTGTAAAACAGAATCTGTAGAACAAAGTGCAAAGTGCTTCTGGTGCTTCTCCATTTCTATGAGCCTCTGATACCCTGCTGCTGCGGCTGCTTCTTTTGTAGTAGCTATGCCCATATAGTTGATAGGCATAATTTCCCAGTGGAGAACAAGTTGACTCCCTTGGCTTTAACCATTCAAAAAACTTTGAAAACTGAGTTACTGCAAAGGCCTTGTAAGCTTAACTGCCAAGAGTTCCACTGATTGTGCCAGGTAGAAATAGAAATAATCTAGACAAGAAGCATACCCAGAAATAATAGGTATAAGTATTCCTTTATTGTAAGATTACATTAAGAGAATCGTGTAAGTCTGAAAGTTTATCTCAGGTATACAGTATATTGATAAATATTGATAGTGAGATGGGTGGCATATGAAATAAATAAATAAAATATCTCTCCTGCCTTGCTTTTACAGTCCAAGAAAGAAGGGAGGCTTCCCTTCTGAAAGTGTGCTACACCTCCATTCCTTCCATGGACTCAGCAATTGTTTGTCTGACCATTGCCTAATCTGTGGCTCTTGTTCCCTTGTCTCCCCCACATACCATTACAATGAACATGTAGGCTGTCTTTAACTTTTGGAGAAAAGATGGGATATCAGACTATCTATAGGCAATTAAATTATGGCCTGACTCTAACCTGAATTAAGGGATTGCCGGCGACACAGTATTGAATAACCGGAGGTCGTATAAATATTTATAGAAGTATATACTATAAATAGAAGTATTAACGTAATAGAAAATTAATCTTATTATATATAATATAGATAGGGAAAATTAGAGAGAGGGGTTGCTCGGACATTACCCCTGAATTGTAGCTGAAGAGGAATGAGAGGAAAGAAAGGAGAGGAGAGAGAGAAGAGAGTAAAGGAGGGGGGAAGGAAGTAGGAAGGTTGGAAGAGAAGAGGAGGAGAAGTGGGGAGAAATGGGAAGGGAGTGGTGAAGGAAAGAGGAGAGGAGAGGAAGAAGAGGGAAGTAGGGAAGAAAGAGAAGAAAGGGAGAAAGAAGGTAGAGAAGAGGGAAGAAAGAGTAGGAGTGTGGATACAGTGAAAGGGGAAATGGGCGAGCAACACCAAAATTTATGTTTATGTATTTATTTTATTTTATTAAGCGTATCTGATAGATAAGAATGTAAAAATAATGTATGTTAACATGTGATAAAATATCGTGGTATATTTGTCGACATGTATGGGGGAGAGTTGGGAAAAATAAAAAAAGCATTAAAAAAAAGGGATTGCAGGGTCATAAAAAGGGAGTTTATTGTTCCTGCATATGAATTTTCTGTTTAAAATACAGAAAGAAAACCACATTTAGCACACTGACATATCAAGTCATGGTAGCATCCTAAAAGAGCATCTCATTGCTCCTGATATTCTTCGTTTAAATCTTTAATATTAACAGAATATCATTTTTAATTGAGAGAGGGCGAGAGAGAGAGATCAATACAAAGATTATTTTACTAGGTATTAAAATTTATACATCACTCTAGCAGTCACTGCATCCAAACAGAACTATTTAGGGCAGCTGGAATCAATCCAATGAAAGTTAGTATAATAAAGCATTACAAAACACTGCCAATATTTGAAAACATTTAAACTCTAGCAAAGATTTTAAAAATGGTATTAATATATAAACATACAGAATATCTTCGTTTTGCTATGATAGAAATTGATTTATAGAATGTCTTCTGATATGGCATATTCTTATACAGGGCATATAAATGAACATAAAAATCAATTTCTGAATTGCTGTACTCCTTGAATTTGTGTAGAATATAATATCCCTTAATCTAAATATGGGGTATAGCCATAACTCTCAAGTATGAGAAAGAGAAGAAAACAGTTTAGATATTAAAGGAAATTCTGAATTACTTGGGAAGCTAAGCAATATATCTTCAATATGTTCTACATATAATAAGCAAAATATGTTTAATATGGTAAATGCCATTTTATAATAAAGATTTTGGTTTCACCTTAAAGCTGTCATTTTACACTATAGAATTGATATTTTTCTTCTCTACCACCTCATTTATTGTTAAGTAAAAGAGGAAAGTAGACCTTTTCATAAAGAGCACACAAAAACTTAATATAACTTCTGGTGATTTGTAAAATGTTTCCTATTTAGTTTATGAAGATTGAGGTAAATTAACCCTCGTTGAATTAAATCAGACTTTATATTTGAATGGACATGCATAAGATCCAATGATCAGATGACAGATGCATGGTTTTTTTGATAATTTTCTAAGATGATGAAAATTAAGGATAGAAGGTAAACTTTTTAAAAAGAATTTTATTATTACAAAAATAAGACTACTGAAGACTATCCTTTAACTCTTTATCCTTACACCATACTGGCTTTTATTCAGCCATAATCAACTATACAATAATTATATTAAAAAACTGAGATCAGTCTCTTCTCCAACTGCAACATATCCTCCTGTTGATTCAGTGTTTCTCAACCTTGGCAACTTTAAGATGTGTAAACTTCCACTTCCAGAATTCCCCAGCCACACAATCCATCTCTAATTTTATATATGGAACAGCCACCAGTATATTTTAACTGGTAATAATAATTTAAGTTTGCTGCATAATAATTTTCTCTAATGTCTTTTATTAGAAAGGTAAGGGATTAAGGGATTGAACTGGGGCCTTTTGTATGTAAAACATGCATTTTGCTATTGAATTATAATCTCTTATAGAAACATGAGAAGGAAGAAGGAGAAGCATCTTAATGCAGCTGCAATTATTGCTACAGTTTCCAAAAAATGATTCTAGATGAATGTTACCAAGTCTGTGAATCCTCCAGGCAATATATTATATTTGTTAGGCAATTTGCTTCATAGGAATAAGCTTCACAGAAATATCAGGAAGTACTTGCGTACACAAGTAAATGACTTTTGCCCTTGGTGTGACGTTAAATAGAAAACACTCAATGCATTGTGGAGCAGAAGAACAGAGGGGAAAAAAATCAAATATAGTTCCATACAACCTGCTCTGTGGCAATCCTAAACATCCTGGATGTAATTTGAGTGAACCCACGAAAATGGTGTGTTGAAAGAAACAAACATCTCTGAAAGATAACTGATACATCAGAAAAGAAAACACAAGATGTCTTCCATAAATTTAATCTAGTTAAAAGTTCTTTGCTTCTAAAGTTGCCAGGAAACTATGCCAAATTTTACACTGCTAGTAGTTTTGGAATATGTTTTCAACAAGGATGTGTGAAATTAAGAAGAAACTGTTGTTTTTACTGTGGTGCTATTCTTCCAACATAAATGTTGGAACAGATTACATAGATGCTAAAGCAGCTTAAACTAGCAACTGTTTCATTATCATTATTATCACAGCAATTCTGGTGGGTTATACTGATATCATTGATAAACAACAGATGTTGTCATTACTCTTTTGGTGAATAGATATAGATATAGATGTTATAGATATATAGACATAGTTGTAAATATAGATATATAGATATATCACATTTTATCTCCAACATAATTTCTCTTATTTCCTCCCTCCTTAAAATTAAGAAAATACCCCAATGATAAATTATAGTTACAAATTTTAGAATTTGTAAATTTTTTACAAATAATAGTGACGTATTATTTTGCCTGAGAGTATTGTTTTTGTAGTGTGCATTTAAAATTGGTTTTTCATCAATAGTGACAGAAATAGCATTTCTTCCCAGCTGTGTATGCAGAAAAGATCCAAACAATCCTAGAAGAACCCTAACGTGCATCTAGTTAGGGTTCGAGATTCAGATTACTGCAATAGATCTTTTGTAGGAGAAACTGCATGTTCCCAACTTTGATCTAAATATCTTAATTGCAACATCCTCCAAGGCAGGGGTCCCAACCCCCAGTCCGTGGACCAGGCCGCGGCATGCCAGCAAGCAGTCCGCACAAACAAGGAAAGCTCCATCCGCAGGATGCAGGCAGCACACAAAACCACGCTCCCTCTGGTCTGCAGAAAAACTTCTCTCTACGTAACCGGTCCCTGGTGCCCAAGAGGTTGGGGTCCTCTGCTCTAAGGATGTCTTCCTTAATCCCCATTTCTTGCCATTAACACATTAATATTCCAATATCATAGTTATTTATTCAGATCTACAGTACATATTAAACTAAGAAAACAATTTACATCTCTTTAGCAGAACAAAAAACCCTTTCCTCTGCCTCAGAAAGAACAAAACTCTCTAACTAAAGAGGTAGAAGAACTGAAACAAAGTCACCGAGCATCTAGTACAACACAAAAAGTAACAGAATAAGATTGCCTGTATTGAAGCTTGTTCCCCAAAATAGCGAGCACAAACATTAAAAAAGCCAATAATGTAATATCAAATGCAAGCACCAGTTCACTGCAAAAAACAAACCAACTTATGTACAGCACAACTACAATAACTGAATATCTGGGATGCAAAGGACATGCTTCACTGTCATTATTTTCATGGTCTTCCTATTCAGGGCTTTTAGTTCTGCTAAAATTGCTCTGATGCTTTAGAATTAACAGACAAGCATCTACCACACAAAACCCCAAATTAGTTATTATTGATAAGAAATGCAAAAATGTCTGGATGTTATGGTACCTGAGGAGATAGCCAAAGAGAAGAGAAAGAACTGGAAAAAATCACAAAATTCAAAAACCTGCAAAAAGAATGACTGTGGCAAAAGAAAGCAAAAGTAGTA